GATCACTTCCTATCCTAGTCCATGATCAAGAAAATTTTAACAAAACAAGAAGAAATATTTAATAGCAGCACTTTAGGTCCTTATTCGATTATGACACCGCATTCTTCCCTTTGATCCATAAGTGACGGAAGAATCAGTTAGTGCCCTCCATTTTAGTTTTAAATTAGGATTCGGTTTGATGAGTCAATAATGTTCAGGGCCAACAACCTATTTTTTTTTTTTTCCTCTGGAATTGGAAATAAGAGTTTCTAAGAACAAATTATATATTATATAGGACTCTAATTGGTGCACACCCGGATCCCACACCAGGGTATGCACCCCCCACATAAAAAAAAAAAAGTTGGACCGGGTGATGGGTTTTTTTTTTTTGTTTATATGGTGTGTGCACACCCGGGTGTGGGATCCGGGTGTGCACACATCATTATCCTATTATATAACATCTAAGTGTGATAGATTAAGAATGGTGTTAAGTTTTAGATTGATTGAATATATATAATTAGTTCATTAATTATTTAAAACTTAACACCATTAAAAATACATTAAAAATATAAATTTCTTAATTGAATAATTACATATGTTAGATCAACTTAAAAATTAACATGAATGACCTATATAAATAAAACATTAAATTCAATGAATAGTTTTTTTGAAATTATGCATTGGAGGATGGTGTTTTGAAGTTAAATTTTCAATTTTTTATGGGAGTTGAGAGTGAAAAAATGATAAATTTTTATTTTTTGGTGCAAAAAATACCATGTATTCATAATATAGTTTTTATCTTAAAAAATATCTTTGATTACAGAATATAATTAGTTATAAATGCTACTTTTTTTGATGTTCGATTATAATGCTACTTGATTATTGAAGATTTTTGCATTTGATTAGTTGCTTTTAAGGGCTACACCATACAAATAATTAGAATTTAATATGCTAATTTCTTATAACATCTTTTTGATTGGTTGACATATATTAATATTTTGTAATAATAATTTTATTTGAACTAAAATTTAGATACAACATAGATTTTAGTAATTTTTTTTTATGGCAGATGATTTTAGTTTCTACATATGCAAGTCTCAGTCTCTCATTTATAAGTTATAAGTCTAGCAAAATCAATCTTCTTCAATCGTTCATAAGTAAAATATAAAGTTTGATTTTATGATTTTTTATCTTTTGTAGTATTATGGTTGCCCCTCCCTAAAACAAAATCCAGGTTCCGCCGCTGCCAGTGAGGGGTACTTTTGCAATCCAATTTCTCTGCCTGCTGAAGAAGCATGTCTGCCCTTTCTGTTGGATCCAAGTTGGCATTTTGGGTATAAAACCCACATCAAAATTTTGGACTTGTCTAGTGCTCTCGTTGGGGTGAAGGTGACTCTTTTTGCAAATTTCATGTTCATGACAATGAAGATGTGAATTAGGGAGAAGGATGCTTTTAAAATATAAAGTTTTTTTTCTCTTAAGATGAGCAATTAGTTTAAATTTTGCAACATTTTCCATGTTCTAATGTTCCTTGTGACCAAATTTTAAAATGAAATCTGAGAACACATTTTTTTTTTTCAATCATTAATTATATGAGTTCATATAGAACACACACTATAAGCAATAAATAAATTCATCTTAAATTTTGATTCTTTGTCCTAACCACCATTATTCTTCTTCATCAGTAATTTGTTTGAAAATATTATTCTTCTTCATCAGTTTTGTTTGGAATTTTATAAGTTTAGAGATCATACAAAAATTAACACAATTT